AGAGAGAGAGAGAGAGAGAGAGAGAGAGAGAGAGAGAGAGAGAGAATATTAAAAGGATCTAGTTATATGACTATGATAGTTTGTTCTAGGATGCTTGATGTATAAATGAAAGAGGGAACAGAGGAGTGAACTGTCGCAAGGGACTGTCTGTCTAGCAAGGTCCCCAATGAGAACTGTAACACAGTGAAGAGCCAGGCCCTATTTCTGCTGCTCTCAATTCTACTGATAGAAATTGAGACAAGAACCTTGCCATGAGCCCAGAACCTTCTCTGGATCCCTGCTCTTCCATGAGCTTTCCCACAGACTTTTAGTCTTTCCTCAGAGTTTTTTTTTTTTCCACACTGTTTGTCCCATTCTTCAAATGAGCTTCAGCCATCTTTCATTCTTCTGAATCTCAAACTGATTTATTCTGTATCCAAAGCCATGTCCAGCCATGGGCTCTGTCATTTGTGTTTCCAGCTCTTCCTTAGATGTTAACACCAGCTATCATCCCATTTCCTATCAAGGCAGACAAACTTTCCATGTGTTTCTCATGTCTTGAGTTAATGGGATTTCTGGGGCCAGGAGAAGGAAGGCACACAAAATTTTTGCACACAAAAATACACACAGTCACACATTAGATACATGGACATGCAAATACACACACACACACACACATACATGCATGCAAACACATATATACACAATTGCACACTCACTCACACATATGTATGTAGGCACACACAGGCGCATTCACAAACACATGTACATGGACACATACACATGAACACTAACATACACTCATACCTACACACACACGCACATATACACACACAAAGCAGAATGTATTAACCTGTCATCCACTGAAGCGTTCTCTACAAGAAGAAAGGAATTTTATATGCTGCCATGGAATTGAAAGAAATACAAAGATTGTAGCAAAATACTCTTGTTCTTACTTTAAATGCTTTTTTTTTTTTTGTCTTTGGTTTTATTGGCTCCTATGATTAACTCCCTAATTGGAAGTCACTGGTAGAACAGCCATTTTTATAAATATGATGTGAGAATGTCTTTACATATCTTCTCAACAAACTGCCCCTTAGGTCAATATCAGCTCCTCTGAGGGACACAGAACCTGTTAGATCCTCTGCTGGTCAGTCTAGAGAATCTGTGTAAATGTCCAGAATTGAGGCGTGTTACATCAGGTGGGAAAAAACCTAACAAAGAAAAGTATTCACTACTAAAGAGAAGTAGCCATTTCTACAACATGGCTACATCACAGGCTGGATCCAAAGGCAGAGATTCAAGTTGCTCCATTCCCCTTGGAGACACTGAATACTACTTAAAGCTCAGCTAGCAGAATTCAACAGCAACCCTCTCTGTTTTGATTTAAAGGATCTTCCTATGGATAAAACCATTTGGTCCTATAATCGAGAAGGAAACTTTCACTTCATCTTGGCTCTAATAAACATGTAGTCACGATTCTAATAGGAGATAAAATAAAACACTGTTGCAAGAGATGCATAAGCACTAAATATAAACTTATATTCAATGTTTAAAATATTTATTTTATTTTTAAGTGTGTGTGTGTGTGTGTGTGTGTGTGTGTCTGCATGCTCACATGAGTGTGGTGCCCACTGAGTCCAAAAGAAGGGATTGATCCTCAGAAGCTGGAGTTGCAAGAGATGGAGGGCCACTGGAGGTGGGTTCTGGGGGCTCGCTCAGGACCTCTGCAGGATCAAGAATCATCTTTAAGTGGCCAGCCATTTCTTCAGCCCAGTATTCACTTGTTTATGTACAAAATGCCAAAAGAGTAACACACAAGCGATGGAATTTACTCTCTGGAAAGAGCCAGCAGTGCCTCCGGAAAGAAGGTGACTTTACTTTTTTACCATTTACCTAATTCTATTTATTTTTTCCTAAGATGAAAATTGATTGCATCAGATCCTACAGGAGAAGTTGTGTTCTGAGGAGAGCTTGCGAGCTCTGCGGTGCACCAGCAGGAGCTGCTCTCTTGCCGAGGCCTCCAGAGTGTGTTTGGTGGTCCTCTGGTGTCTAGTACCATACACTAAGACAAAGGGGTTTTGTGAGTATAATATAGAGCTAGATTTTAGCATTTTTCTCATTGCTAGGACCAGATTCCTAAAAAGAAGCAGTTTAAGGGGAGGGGAGGAGAATTTGTTTTGCCTCACATGATATGACAGTGCAGTCCATTATGTAGAGAAGGCAGCACAGTGTAAGTGAGCAGAGAGGTTTTTGACTGTGGTGGCCTGAGAGTGCTGGAGCATGTTCACATCTCCTCAGATTAGGAAGCAAGGAACAACCTGGAAGCAGAAAAGGAAACATGCTACCTACTTCCTGAAAGCCACTTCCTGGACTTGGAATCCTCTCAAAATATGAGCATTGGCTGGAAGGATGAATGTTTAACTCCATGGGCCCAGGGTGAGATAAGACTCCACATTCAAACCCCAGGAGGGATGAATCAAGAATCATCTGTGCTTGCATCCTCAAGACCTGCACAGGATCAAGTCATTCAACTTTCTAGCCTGGAGGAAGGAAGGTCTTATGAAGGAAGCCCACCACCATCTGAAGGAATCCATGTCTGCTGAGGAGGGGAGTCTGTTTCCTTCGAAGATGTTGCCCGTGTGCCACCAGATGGCCCTACACCAAGCACATACAAGCAGTACTAGTACTTCTCAGTAATATGTGGAAATAAAAAAGAATAAATAATATAAAAGGAAAGAGGACATGAAGTTGCAGGGGAGTTGGAGGAGAGTTGGAACAGAACTGACGGGTGGATA